CTGTCTGACTCTTTCAAGGATTTACTTCATTTGCAAGTGGCTTTTCCCAACACAATGTCATTAACTTCTGGAGAGACCTGAAAGCCGGTGTTTATGTGAAAGTGAAGTCTAAGTCCTCAGGCTCCCTGTCCTGCTCAGTGCCTTTTCTGCAGAGCAGAGACAGCCAGGAAGCTGACAGCAGAAAGGGGACATTTGCCTGGACACAGACTTATTTACCTTCTCCCACTAAACCTTCTACTTTTGCAATGAAGTCTTTGCCCTCTGCTGACCCCAGGACCTGTCAAGACCTTGAGCTTGGTAGAGTGTGCTGCCAACACTGCTTCTCTTATTACCCATTTCAGTCACTAATCTGGGGCTACATCAATGGTTCCCAACCATGGCTGCACTTCAGATTCACCTGAGAGCTTTTCCAAAATACACCGCCCCTCCTTCCCAGGAATCTCTGGCATAGGTATGAGATCCTAGTAGGTATGAGAGAAAGGAAAATAAGAGAATCTGCCTGGTAACCATCAGGGGGAAGGAATTAACATGTTCTCTAAAACCATGTTGAAAGGTCAGAGCCCAGCACAGTGGTGCATACTTGTAATCTTAGCACTTTGGGAGGCTGAAGCAGGAGGATCACTTAAGCCCAGGAGCTCGAGGCTGCAGTGAGTTGAAGTCATGCCACTGTACTCCAGCCTGGGCAACAGAGTGAGACCCACACCACTGTACTCCAGCCTGGGCGACAGAGTGAGACCCACGCCACTGTACTCCAGCCTGGGCGACAGAGTGAGACCCACGCCACTGTACTCCAGCCTGGGCGACAGAGTGAGACCCACGCCACTGTACTCCAGCCTGGGAGACAGAGTGAGATGCTCAGGCATCAGTCTTATTCTAGCACCCCAGGTGACTTCAATGAGCAGCAAGGGCTGAGAACCGCTGCTTCACAGAAGGGAGCATGTCCTGGGGGAGCCAGGGAGGTCTTCTGAGACCCGATCCTGTTGTTTAACTTCATTTCCCAACAAAGGGCTGCTAGATCCTCCTGCAGTTCTCAAGTCATCCTTGTGTTTTGTAAAATACTGCTTTGTTTAAAAATGTAAGGATGTGGTGCCTCTGAAACTGTGAACATTTCTGAAGATCATCAACTCTTGGTAACTGTAAAATCCAAGGAGGCAGAAGCAGAGGGACAGGTATCTGGAGATATGGGCGGCTGCTGCTCCCAGCATCAAAGGCGTTCATCTGCATTCATCCTGTAGGTGGAAGCTGCTGCTCCCCCGTGGAGGGCTGTAGAATGTGCTGGAGTAAGTGTGGCTGAAGTGTGCAGTTACGCACTCTGTGTACAGACTTTCACAGAGCATGTTAAGTTTTGCAAAGTGCTTACTAGATCACAAACTTTGCTTTAAAAAAAAATCAGAGTTTATCACTTGACAAAAGATGTAATTTTCTGCCACACACTCAGAAGTACCACTCAGTAATAATTTGGCCCTTACAAAATTATCATTTTCCTGTTATTTTCACCTGTGTTCAAGGGAAGGAGCAAAGTTTGATCTTCAAATGAATAATATAAACGTCAATTAATTACCCAGAAAGATTTGCTTTTTTTTTTTTTTCCAATCTAAACCTTTTAATGCCCACCTTCAAAGGCAGAGGGTATCTGAGGGAGAGAGTTTCACATCAACTTTACTGTTCCACTTCAGGAAATTCTGACTATTATTTTTCAGAAAGGGTCTTGCTCTATTGCTCAGGCTGGAGTACAGTGGTGGGATCATGGCTCACTGCAGCTTTGATCTCCTGGGAGTAAGTGATCCTCCTGCCTCAGCCTCCCAAAGTGCTAGGATTACAGCATAAACCACTGTGCTGGGCTCTGCCCTCTTAACATAGTCTTAGAGAACATGTTAATTCCTTCCCCCTGATAGTTACCAGGAATATTCTCTTATTTTCCTTTCTCTCATACCTGCTGGTTAGGAAAGACATTATCTTTCCATTAAATTCTTTATTTGACTTAGTATACAACATCCCATTTTGGGTATATATAGAAAACTAAGATTATTTGTTTGACCTCACACAGGAAAAATAATCATTTAATAAATGGTATTTGCCATTTCTAGTCAGGTTTTTTTTGAGGGTGGTGATAACTAGATGCGGCATTTATCTACTGCTTAATACCAGGTCACTTAGCTTCCTGATCCCTACAAAGATTTTGTTCTGAGTAGCGGTTATGCACTGAAGAGAAGTATCACCACTTCCAGCCCACACACCTGCCACGCAGCTTGACCTTTGCCCATTGGTTTGTGGTTTTCTTACTTGTGTACCATCCTTCTGCTCCAGCAGGGGTCTCAGCCCTGACTGCCCATGGATAGCACTTGGGGCTTAAAAAAGACGGGTGTGCCAGCCCTAGGCCCAGAAATTCTGATTCCGTTGGCTTAGGACGGGGCTTAGGCACAGGTATATTATAGCAGACCCCCAAGGAAGTCTAATGTGCAGGTGATTTTGGAAGCACTGTTGTTGACCGTCAGATCTTCCTGATAGCTGGCAACGTTGTGTCCTCTGCCTGGTATCCCTAGCACCTGCGATGGAGTCTGGTACAGGACAGAGACTCACGAGTCTGCTGTGAATGATGCACCAACTGTATCTGGAATGAATTTGGAATCCTGGTATCCTCACGCCACAGTATCACCCTCTTCTGATGCATTCGTCAGATGCTGTGAATTAAGCAAGAAGCCAGAATGTCAATTCTAAAGAAGCAGGACTGCTGGAACGCGAGTTCGCCATGGTTTGCCCTGGGCCCATGTTCCATTACCTGTTAATATTCAAAGACAATGCCATAGCATTTAGTCAGTAAAAACAAAAAAAGAAAAAAAAAACAAGTCAGTATACTGAAAAGGAATATTAAGTTATTCAGAAACGCACAGCAATGGATTGCAGACATGTGAAGCAAAATCAGTGCTACCTAATTCCTCCAGAGAATGCTGTGCAGAACAAACATCCCTTTCTTCCATGTGGCTTAAAAAAATAGCTACCTAAAGAAAAAAATTTAAAATAGTTAGCTGAATACAAAAGCAGAAACCCAACTCTCAATTTTTCATTTTATTTTTGGCTAGTTGTCTGATAGATTGATCCACTCATTCATTCATTCAATTTGGGCATACTGAACCTCTTTATACCAGGCACTGTTCCCCATGATGGGATACTGCAGTGAGCTCAAGTGACCTGTGCTTGGTCACATGGAACTCACATTAAAATGTGGAAGGTAGGTAAGAAACAAGAAAGCAGACAGCACAGAATTCAGGCAATGAGGGTGGTGAGGATCAAATCACAAGGGCCAGGGAACAGGTGCAGCCCTGGCAGTCATGGAGGGCCTCTGTGATGTGGCCTGGGAGCTTAGTTCTGGATTTCTGAGGGTAGGAGATAGCAAATGCATGGGTACAGAGGCAGGAACGAGCTGGAAATGTGAGCGACAGAAAGTCTAGGGGCCAGTACTTGGCAGGAGAAGGAGGAGTGGTAGGAAATGGGACACAGGAGCTGGGCGGCATGGGGTTCTGCATGCCATGGGAAGGGCTATGCATGGAGATAGTAAAAATGGCAAATGATGCCATCAGTTTTCACCTTAACAGAAGTGCTACCACAAGAGAGGTCTGTAATAGGAAATGGGCTGAGTAAATTTTCTAGCCCTGGGAAGCCATTCCATTATTGGGTCAAGCCTCACAAAATCACTTGAGTAAAAATATAATTGCAAGAATTTTCTTTTCTTCCTGAGTGTTGAGATGAGAGAGGGGGCTGTTGAGTCAATTCTTCCCCCAGATGTCCATATAACCTTTTAATTTTATTTTTCTTTTATTAGACAGAGTTCCAGTCTATCACCCAGGCTGGAGTGCAGTGGCACGATCTCGGCTCACTGCAGCCTCCATGTCCTGGGCTCAAGCATTCCTCCCACCTCAGCCTCCTGCGTAGCTGGGACTACGGGCGTGCACCACCACGCCCTGCTAATTTTTGTATTTTTGTAGAGACGGGGTTCACCACGTTGTCCAGGCTGGTTTCAAACTCCTGGGCTTGAGTGATTTTCCCACCTAGGCCTCCCAAATTGCTGGGAATACAGGCAGGAGCCACTGTGCTTGACGCCCCCTGTCTTTTTATTGTCTTCATTAATACCTCTGTTCAAATGTCATTTCCCCAAAGAGGCCTTCTCTGCTTTTGGTGGTCTTCAAGGTCTCTACTACTACAATATATTACACTGTATATCTATTTGTTCATTTCATACTTCCCCCTCCCTACTGGAATGTAAATCCCTGAGGTCAAGGGCTTCATTTATTTTGTTTTCTGCTGTACTCAGTACAATTCTTGTACTCAGCACATGGTAAGTGCTCAACAAATATCTGTGGAATGAATTAGTTGGAATAAATGCCATTGGGTTTTGCTGCATTTACTTGTGCACAAAGGACTTGGGAAAGCCCTTGTGTTGCGATGCTTCTGTTTCCCAAGCAATTGGTGTCCTTTCTAATCTTTCTGCCTTAATCACTTTAAATGTACCGACAAGCACAATTGACCAATTAATAGCGCTTATGCTCTTGTTACATCATTTGTAATCCATGATGCTCTTTCTATTCGTAATGGCCTTTCAATTTTTCATGACTCAAAATGGACGACATGCATAATGAATACAAATAGCAAATTGATTAAATGTAATGCATATTCTACTGCTTGCTGGGCTTATGCCTGTTATTAATGACAGAAATCCTGCAAACTCTCATGAAAACACCGATGACATACAACCTTTAATGCAAGATGTTGGAGCACTAGGGGTCCTAAATTTTCCTAATTACTGAGCAACAGCAGACATTATTTTCCCAGATGGCAACCTTTGTAAATAAGAACATCAGCATGGCTGCTTTGTCCAAGTTCTTTTTGCTGAGCACAAAACCCATCATGCAACACATTTTTACTTCATCAGACTATTTGTGTTGTGTTTCAAACAAAAATACACTTGAGAGATTGCCTTATGAGCAAAGTATAAAGGATGCCACTTGTGCAAAATCAAGTTTATTGTCTGCTCAGGGATTGCATGTTTTTTTGGAATCCTAATACACCATGATACGGATGCCACATAGCTTCAGTTTGTGCACTGAGCATTAAAGCATCACAAAAATGATAACACAAAACAAGAAAGAAGACATAATGCAATGGACACTATGGTAAAGGACATGCTTTGAAAAGACCCGCCTGGCTAAATGTGCAGTCTTGGTTTCAGATTGCCAAAGAATGAGCTGGTTTACAATAAAAGGCTGTGTGAACAAGCCTTCTTTCCCCGTTAATGGGAAACTTCTGGGAAGCAGGCGTTTTCTTTGACACGCTGGGGCACAAAATGACTGGTTTACCTAGGTTGGCGCTGGAAAACAACGAGAGCTTGTTTGATGGGTCTATTAAGAGGGAATGAAGTGGACAGGAGCATTTATCAAGACCCACCCATGCTCAGAAAGTAACGTTCACAGCATGCTGACCACTGCTCCTGCACTCTTCCTCCTAAAGCACAAATGGGCCACTCTGCAGAAGATAGGTGGGGTGAGAGAATGGGCAGCTGTGATCCTGGTCCACTTCCCTAGCAGCTCCTCTGATGAGACCTTGACAGGTCTGCCTCCATGACAAATCAGGGTCTGAGTCAGTGGAATTCCAAACCTGGGAAAAGCAGAGCTCTGCCAGAATGCATGCTGCCAGTTTGGGGCCCAGCGTAGTTTTGATGATACCTGGGTCTAGGCTTAGTAGATTCCCTCTACCTCTGAAAGTGTGCACATTGTCTGGGGTTGGAAACTCCAGAAGTGACCCTGAACAAGTGAGTGGTATATCGAGAGACACAGAGAGCCTGGGTAGTGAGGGAGAAGTGAGACAGAGAAGGAAAGGTGGCCACACAACATAGGATGCATTATTAAGTGAGCTACCACAGCGGGTGACAGCAGTTGAATCTCACAGGGTAACTCTGGAAAACTGCAAAGTATGTGGCTTGGAATTACTTTAGCCAAGTGGTGAGGGAGTTCGGGTATTTATACCCATATAACCAACAGCCATTGCTTAAGAGTGCCCCCAGAGAGATATGAATTCCTAGGCACTTTCACCTTTCCATGCCTATGGACAAAGTGGGTTCCAGGAGCCTAGGGGCCATATGTCTGACAAAGATGCAGTGGATATGGGTGGAGCGCCCATAGAGACTGCTCCAAAGTCACCCAAGGACTTAGGAACCCTTCCAGCATATATAAAACCCATGCCCCCACTCTAAACTTCTGAAGGCATCACCATTACTCAAGATCAAAATGTCCGATTAATGTACATAGTGTATTAAGTACACTTTTGAATGTGATTTGAAAGGGGAATGACATTAGCAGGCTCTACCTGCTGAATTTTCCACTCTATGGAGATGGCAAGACAGACTTCCTGCTAACATTGAGGAAATACACATGCCCTCCTCCCCTACTGTCATATGTCTATGTGAGAGAATAAAGAATTCACAACTAGTTGTAAAAAAAGAAACTAGGAAGAGAAACACTGACTATAGAGTAAGAGAAAGCAACAGCACTGACAGAGAGACAGACAGAAAGGAATGAGAATTTTATTTGTTGAAATTGGAAAAAAACACAAAAATTCTTGGTACCTTTAAACATGTTCCCTAGATGAAGCCTGAAGTACTGTGCGGGAACTTTCTCATTGTCATATGGAATCTGGTTGTCTGACGGCCTCATTTTGTATGGAATTCATCTTGTAAAGCCAAAGAATTCCTTAGCATCTTCACTTCTTTTGATACTTTAGTTGCAAAAATCCTTTCTTAGTGCATAACAATGATAATAATTAGAATTTATTTCATGCTTACTATGTGTGAATTGTTTTGCATGTATTAACTCATTTAATACAATAAACCTATGGTTAGCTATTAGTTTCTCCACTTCACAGGGAAAAAAGCTGAGGCTCAGAGAGGTTCAATGACTAGCCCAATATCACTCAGCAAGTGGAGGTAGGATTTAAATCCAGAGGGTCTGATTGCAGAACCCACAATTTTTACGTCTCCATATTTTCTTTCTTTCATGTACCCTAATCACTTACCTTGATAGGCACATGTTTTTACAAACACAAATCCTTCTTTAATTGTTTCTATCCCAGGGATGTGATGGCTTGACATTTTACACCGCGGTAAGTGCAATATTTGCACATGAGCAACATCCTAAAACAGCTCATTCAAGGAGCAGAGAGGCCTCGCTTTCCCAAGGACGGCATCTGGTTTTTCCGCCGCATGCCCAGGTCTCTCAATAGCAAAGCCTTGCAAGTTTTATTTCACATCCGTCTTAGAATCACCTGCTCTCTAAATCTAGGGAAACTCACTGTGGGCTACAGGAAATCAATTTTGTTTGCTTCTCTTGGCTATCAGATGAGTCTACTCAACCACTGGACTCCATAATGGGTAAAAATATGAAACATGCAAATGGCACTCTATTCTTGTTTGTTAGCTTTTTACTAAATAAAAGAAGGAAGACGGATCATAGATAGAACCAGTGCTTAGAAAGCACTTAAGTGATTGTTTATATTCACATTTATTATGGTGTGATCTGAGTCTAAAAAATAATCGACTTTTTTTTTTTTCCAGCAAGGCTTATAAATACAGACCCAGAGAGGCTTCCCATTCTCCTAAACATCTTTCCAGGTGGAGATGAGAGGGAAAGAGCTCATGCCTGACAGTGCTAAAAGCCTATGGTTTGCTTTTCCATGATGTATCTATTACAGTGTAAGTGTGTATATGGTTTAAGTACATATGCAAAGAAATGCTATCTGCTAAATTTGAAAGAAAGATGGCTTTCCCACTTCTAACACTTAAGAACTCAGAAAAGAGAATGCTTTAAGAGGGAGCAAAATCCACGACTACACACAGATAAGACTCTCTTATTTTTCTAAGTATTTAGAGAATTAGTCTACAGAAGGACTACAACAGGAACTACCAAAGTGAGATGGGATAAAATGATAAAAGTGCACCTAGGGAACCGTTTAGTATGCAAGAGTATATGTGGAGTGTGTGTATGTGTCCCCATTTACACACATACTAGAGAATGAATAATTTTAAGCAAAAGCATTTAAGAATTTTATCATTCTGTCTTGATTTATTCTTTCCACATGTTCATGTTCAGTAATAACAGCAGCTTTGAAAGTGTCAGAACCAGATCAGTCAGGAGGATTCATTTAGGAATTGTGACCGGTCACAATGTGCCTTTATTTAGCCAACCCTCATAATAAGTGATTTCTATTACACGGGGCTGCTGTGTGATGAGGTGGAGAGCACGTAACTGAGGCTCTCTAGTCAGACACCCGCAGAGCCTGTGCCATCCACACGCTCACCACAGCGCCTGCCCCGGCATGGGGGAGCAGGTGGAGGGATGAGCAGTAAGTATTTCAAATGCCCTTTTGGTTTGCGGCCTGTCAAGTCTCCTGATTCTGGACAGGACTGGGCTGTACTGAAAATTACTCTAATTATGAGATGTGAATTTTTGATGCATCATTGTTTCTATAAACTCCTTGTGAGCCTATCTAACCTCAAACACCCAGCTAGAAACAAATACATGGAGATGATAAGAGATTGTGCACAGAAGTCTCTCAAAGATGGCATTAAACACACTAAGACTATTAAGTAAATAATGCCCCTGTAAATTTCAAAGAGTGATTAGCTGAGTCTTATATTTACAAAATACAGTCAACCATCTACTGCTGACTAAGCTTTCTTAACTTCTTAATAATCTGGACAATGAGATGCTAGGACGTTAACAGTAACCCAGAGAGACTGATGAGAAATTGAAAATTCTGCAAACACAAATAAAAAAGACAGATAAGCTTAAAAATGGAAATGAATGCTAAATCAAATGTCTGTCTCTAACAAGCTGACAAATTCTGCAAGTCACAGATGCTCATAATTGGAACACTATAGAAAATAAGGATGTTAAATTAGAAAAGAACTCAATAAGGTTAGAAAACATATTTATGGTATTAAAGTGTCCTGGGTAATAGACAACATGAGATAAGAGGAGATCTTGGGCCAGGCACGTGGCTCATGTCTGCAATCCCAGCACTTTGGGAGGCCGAGGTGGGTGGATCGCCTGAGCTCAGGAGTTCATGACCAGCCTGGCCAACATGCAGAAACACCATTTCTCCTAAAAAAATACAAAAGTTAGCTGGGTGTGGTGGTGGGTGCCTGTAATCTCTGCTACTTGGTAAGTTGATGCAGGAGAATCATTTGAACTTGGGAGGCAGAGGTTGCAGTGAGCCAAGATTACGCCACTGCACTCCAGCCTGGGTGACAGAGTGGAACTCCGTCTCAAAAAAAAAAAAAAAAAAAAAAAAGATCTTGAACATCATGATGGGAAAAATCTCTAGAATCAACTTGGTGGTGAGGAAGGGGACGTTCAGAGATGGAATTTAAGGTTGAATCATGGACAACCGGAAGTTTAGACTGAAGGAAAAATAAAGGCACCAAGTGCAAAACCTTGCTAAAATCGACCCTGTGAGAAAAGTAGCAAAGCCTTGCAAGTTTTATCTCATACCCATTGAGGCATCACTGTTTTGTAGAAGATCTTGAAGGAAAACTAGAAGTGTTCTTTATCCCCTCAATATTCAACTGATTTCCAAAAATGCAAGCTATTAAAGTATGACATAACTTCATAAAGAGTGTAATTTTTACTTCTTGGGAAAGTCAGAAGAATTAAATGCAGAAAGATTTATAAAATAACATTTTAGTTTTATTTTATTCAATTTCACTATATTTTATTTTGCTTAAACTAATGCTTATATAACACTTACCATGAATATCATGCGCCATTTAAAACACTTTGTAAACATTAACCAATTTAATCTTCTTAATGACCCTAGAATGTACTATTATTAAGCCCTTTTACACAGGAGAAGACACCCTTGGAGAGATTTAGTGACTTGCTCAAGACCACACAGCTAGTAAAAGGTGGAGCTGTACACAGTCCATCGGGCTCCATAGTATTTGGAATCACTACGCAATGCTGCCTTTATAAGTAAAGGAATCAACAAGTGACATATTCTGATGATCTTGCTCTAATTTCTCAGCTTCTAAAACTTTGAAAGATTGAGAGAACATATGATACAATTGTACACTCTTTAGAACAGGAGAAAAATTGAGGAAATTTGAACTTAAAATATACCTATTTGTATTTATAATTATATATGGAAGCTTAAGGTTCCTTTAAAAGATTAAATTGGTATTTCACATACACCCTAAACAAGAGAATAGATGGATTGGAAACATACATCTTTCTGTTATTCCACAATAACTTTTACATTGAGATCAGGTTAGAAAATGACCAGGATAAATGGCCAAGAACAAAATTCCCCCAAATGTTGCATATACATTCTACCAGAAAATGTGTGACAACATTTTTAAGAAGTGTTTCCTGCCACAAAGGCTGAAGAGGGTGCTAATGTGAACATTAAAAGCTGCAGCCTGAAAAGAATAATGTCCTGAAGGGTAAATTGCATTTCCCTACAAAGGTTTTAATTAAAAAGCACTCTTACCTTCAGTCTTGACTCTTTTAACTTGCAATTTTACCAATAAGACAATAGTATTAACTCACTAATCCAGTCAACAAACATTTATAGAGCTTCAATTTAGCACTGAGACTATCCCAAAGTGAATGAGACACAGTTCTCACTTCTCAAAAAGTCCATTTAGAGAATATAAACTTGGACAAATAATTAACAAAACCATGAACTAAGTGTTAGAGGTTACAATGCCAGCAGCAGCAGCATTTTTAAAAAAAATGTACAATGTGCTTGTGGGTCAATACAGTGGAATGAGCACATGTATTATTTCTTATCCTATCTAAAACCCCACTAAAATGAGAGTAAATGCCAAATTTCCACCTCTAGCCAAAATGGAGTAATAGGAACTTGATTTATCCTCCCACCTAACCTCCCTCCCCCCATCCCAGGACAAAATATATGAAACAAAAGTACACAATACACTGGACATCAGCCAACACTCAGTGATCCTTGAGAGAAGGGAAGCAAATGAGATGGGCCTGGTGATTTTTGAGCCTCCTGCCTGGAGAGAAGTTCCAGTCTACAGCATGAGAGTGCAAATGCAGACAGAGCCCAGTGGACTCCTCATGTTGAGTAGATGAAGCTGAGTCTGAGGAGACCGAGGCAGCTGCAGTTTACAGAGAAGAGTACTGGAGTTGAGAGTGCTTCACAGAGAGAAAACACTAGGACTTTCTCCCTGGGCATGGTGGCTCACACCTGTAATCCCAGCATTTTAGGAGGCCGAGAAGGGTGGATCACTTGAGGTTAGGAGTTCGAGATCAGCCTGGGCCAACATGGAGAAACCCCATCTCTCTCTCTCTCTCTCTCTCTCTCTCTCTCTCTCTCCCCCTCTCTCTCTCTCTATATATATATAAATACAAAACAAGTAGCCAGGCATGGTGGCATGCACCTATAGTCCCAACTACTTGGGACGCTAAGGCAGGAGAATTGCTTGAACCTGGGAGGATGAGGTTGCAGTGAGTCGAGATCATGCCACTGCACTCCAGCCTGGGTGAAAATAAATAAAAATAAAAATAAATAAAGATAGTCCTTCTTGAGTGTTCAGCAGAATACTGAAAAGCGTATGTATGCATGTGAGTAAACTACCTAAGGCCAGGTGGAAACCCGCACAAAAGGACTGAATAACAGTGCCTGCTACTCACATAGACCCAGAATTGGGAAACCTTAAGATTCTCGACATACACAGAGCAGTTTGCCTCTATTGTAGGGAATAATAACACCTAAACCAAGCATTGCTTTGATATCACCTAACAAATCTTAAAAGTGAGGACAAAGGATAAAACTGTTTCTAAGCAATGAGATTGTGTCTCAGATCAAAGCTTGAGAATATTGATAGGAATATAAAAATGTCAGGTACCAACACAGTAAAATATACAATATCTGGTACCCAGTCAATAATTAGCCAGCATATAAAAAGCAGGAAAATAGGACCGTGAGAGGATATCTTATCAATCAATCAAAATGGACCCCCAATTAACACAGAATTAGCAGCTATTATAACTGCATTTCAAATGTTCAAAATGTTAAGTAGATACATGGAAGATATTTCTAAAGGCTAAAATAAAAGTTCTGGAGGTGAAAATTACAATGTCTAAGATAAAAATTACATTGGATGGGAATGATGACAAATTAGAGACTGCAGAAAACAAGATTAGTGAACTTGAGGACATGGCTATAAAATATTTAAAATGAAAGACAAAGGGAAAGAGAATTTATAAAATGAGTAGAGCATCAGTGAGCTGTGGGCTAACTTCAAGTAGTCTATACTTAGGAAATTGGAGTCCCCGAAACAAAGGGCAGGAAAGAAAAAACTTAGAAGGCATAATGGATATAAAATGTCCAAATGTGATAGAAACAATAAAACCAGAGATCCACGAAATTCAATAAACTCCAAGTGCAAGAAATATACAGAAAATTAAAGCAATGTACATCATAATCAACTTGCTCAAAACAAGTCATGAACAGAAACTCTTAAAAATAGCTTCAGATAAGGTACATTATATAGAGAGAATCAAGGCAGGGATTATTGTATAATATATTTCTAGACAGAAATAATGCATGTGAGAAGATAATGATGCAACATTTCTAAAATACTGAATGGAAAAAACTGTCAAACTAAAATTTTATATTTAGTAAAAGATCTTTTAAAAATAAAGGGGAAATAAAGACTTTTTCAGACATACAAAAGCTAAGAGAATTCATCACTGTCAGATTTTGCCATAAAATTAAAAAAATTCTTTAAGGATTATGAAAATAATACCAGATGGAAACAGAAATCTATACAAAGGATGAAGAGTATTGGAAATGGGTATGTGTGTACATATGTGTATGTATACGCATGTACATATATATACAGATGTGTGTGTATGTTTTACTTCTAACTTAAAAAATCTCTTTAAGAGACAATTAACTTTATTTATTCTTACTGTACTTTAGGTTCTGGGGTACATGTGCAGATCATGCAGGATTGCTGTATAGGTACACACATGGCATTGTGGTTTGCTGCCTCCATCCCCCTGTCACCTACATCTGGCATTTCTCCCCGTGTTATCCCTCCCTGACCTCCTTACCCTCCTCCCCACTGTCCCTCCCTTGGACCCCACCAACAGACCCCAGGGTGTGATGCTCCCCTCCCTGTGTCCATGTGTTCTTATTTTTTAACACCTGCCTATGAGTGAGAACATGTGGTGTTTGATTTTCTGTTCTTGTGTCAGTTTGCTGAGAATGATGGTTTCCAGATTCATCCATGTGCCTACAAAGGACAGGAACTCATCGTTCTTTATAGCTGCATACTATTCCATGGTGTATATGTGCCACACTTTCCTTGTCCAGTCTATCGTCGATGGGCATTTGGGTTGGTTCCAGGTCTTTGCTCTTGTAAACAGTGCCACAGTGAACATACGTGTGCATGTGTCTTTATAATAGAATGATTTATAATCCTTTGGATATATACCCAGTAATGGGATTGCTGGGTAAAATGGAATTTCTATTTCTAGGTCGTTGAGGAAGCACCACACTGTCTTCCACAATGGTTGAACTAATTTACACTCCCACCAACAGTGTAAAAGTGTTCCAATTTCTCCACATCCTCTCCAGCATCTGTTGTCTACAGATTTTTTAATGATTGCCATTCTAACTGGCATGAGGTGGTATCTCAACGTGGTTTTGATTTCCATTTCTCTAATTATCAGTGGTGATGAGCATTTCTTCATGTTTGTTGGCCTCATATATGTCTTCTTTTGAAAAGTGTCTGTTTATATCCTTCACCCACTTTTGGATGGGTTTGTTTGTTTTTTTCTTTTAAATCTGTTTTAGTTCTTTGTAGATTCTGAATATTAGCCCTTTGTCAGATGGGTAGATTGCAAAAATTTTTTCCCATTCTGTTGGTTGCCAGCTCACTCTAATGATTGTTTCTTTTGCCGTACAGAAACTCTGGAGTTTAATTAAGTCCCATTTGTCTATTTTGGCTTTTGTTGCCAATGCTTTTGGTGTTTTAGTCATGAAGTCCTTGCCTATGCCTAATGTCCTGAATGCTTT